CTGATGCATCCGAAAGCCCATGAGCAGTGAGGAGGAGAGATGCCTCCTGTCGAGCGCCACGGTGTGCTCAGAGGGAGGAAGAGGAGGACGAGGAGGAGGAGGAGGAGGAGGAGGAGGAGGAGGAGGAGGAGGAGGAGGAGGAGGAGGAAGGAGGAGTTCGAGGAAGGATACGCAAGGTTTTTCTCAGCGGTTCCGGCCTCTGGAGGCCCAGTTGCGGGGATCCAGGACGTTTCAAGATTTGCCTTCATGGCGTCTGGCCTCTGGAGCCTCAGTTGTTTTTACCTAACAGCGAAGACTGATAGGTTTCTAGTGGGCTCAAAAGAGAACATCTTGACTCCCCAGAGGGGGTCTGGGAGAAGCCGGGGAACCCGGGGACTCCCCTATGGATTCCTAAAGATTCTGCTCCCAGAATACCATTCCCAGGCCACATTTTGAATGCCTGGAGCCAACTGTAGGCCACTTCGTGTTCTTTGTCTTCCCAGAACACCAGTCCCAGGCCACATTTTGAATGCCCGGAGCCAGCTGTAGGCCACTTCGTGTTCTTCGTCTTCCCAGGACACCACCCCCAGGCCACATTTTGAATGCCCAGAGCCAACTGTAGGCCACGTCGTGTCCTTCGTGTTCCCAGAACACCACTCCTGTACCATATTTTGGTTGCCCGGAGCCAACTGTGGGCCGCTTCGTGATCTTCGTGCTTCCAGAACACCAGTCCTGTGCCATATTTTAAATGCCCGAGCTGAGGCAGGCTGAGGCCGAGGCAGGCTGAGGCCGAGGCAGAGGCTGAGGCACTCCGAGGCAGGCTGAGGCTGAGGCAGGCAGAGGCTGAGGCTGACGCAGGCTGAGGCCGAGGCAGGCTGAGGCTGAGGCTGAGGCAGGCTGAGGCTGAGACAGGCTGAGACTGAGGCTGAGGCAGGCTGAGGCTGAGGCTGAGGCAGGCTGAGGCTGAGGTCGAGGGAGGCTGAGGCCGAGGCAAGCCGAGGCAGGCTGAGGCTGAGGCTGAGGCTGATGCTGAGGCAGGCTGGGGCTGAGACAGGCTGAGGCTGAGGCTGAGGCAGGCTGATGCAGGCTGAGGCTGAGGCAGGCTGAGGCTGAGGCCGAGGCAGGCTCAGGCCGAGACAGGCTGAGGCTGAGACTAAGGCTGAGGCTGAGGATGAGGCCGAGGCAGGCCGAAGCTGAGACAAGGTGAGGCAGAATTGGGGGGGGATGGGGAAGGGGGGGGGAGGAGGGGGGGCTGAGGCAGTTTGAGGCCGAGGCAGGCTGAGGCTGAGGCTGAGGCAAGCCGAGGCAGGTTGAGGCTGAGGCTGAGGCTGAGGCTGAGGCAGGCTGAGGCTGAGGCTGACGCAGGCTGAGGCTGAGGCTGAGGCAGGCTGAGGCTGAGGCCGAGGCAGGCTGAGGCTGAGGCTGAGGCAAGCCGAGGCAGGCTGAGGCTGAGGCTGAAACTGAGGCAAGCTGAGGCAGGCTGAGGCATCCGTAGGAATCCATCGGAATCCTCAGGAATCCGTAGGAATCCTTAGGAATCCGTAGGCATCCTTAGGAATCCGTAGGCATAGTTAAGCATCCTCAGGAATCCTCAGGAATCCTCAGGAATCCTTAGGTTTCCATTGGATCCTAAGGCCGTTGCCACTGTGACTGTCATTGCGAATGCGACTGCGACTGCGAGAACAGCAGGATTCTACAACTGGATTCTCTTCTGAATCTGAAGGGGAATGCTTCCAGATATGCTTATACACATCGCTCTTAGGTTGCTTTGCCGGGATAATTACTTTTTGCGAGCAGTGGGACGCGCTCGGTGATTGTTCGGGGGGGGGGGGACTAGGGGAACAAACAGTGACATAAACATGAACACTCGGAGGTCCGCGCAGATTTTTCGTTTCGGATCGGCGCTGGACCCCCCTCCCTGGGGCGCGGAGCGCGCTAGGTGCGGCGAGGGAGGCGCCGCCAGGGGGCCCCAGCGCCGATCCGAGGGATCCGCGCGGACCTCCGGGTTTTTATGTTTATGGCCTTGCTTGTTCCCCTGGCAACGCGCTCATGGGCTTCCCTGGAGGCTTCCCAGGGCTCCAGTGGCCCCAGAAGACCCCCGAAACCACCCAAGAAGCTATACGCTCGATGCCAAGGGCGCCGAGAGGGGTGCTCTGGAGCCCGCTCGGCGGGACGGCTCTGTCGGCTGGGGCTGTGGGGAGTCTCGGAGGCCCGACTGCTTTCCTCTGGAGGGGGTGCGGCTGCCGCTTCCCCTCCGACCAGGGCGCGCCTCAACAAAAAAGTACATGAATCTTTGGGGCGTTTCAGACAGGGCCTTGCCTTCGAGGATCGAAGGAGTTGTCATCTCTTCCGTGGCGGAAGGGCGGCGGAAGGTCGGCGGAAGTAAAACGAGGCCGCCTCCGCTGGCGGAAGCCGGCGGAAGCTCGGCAGACGGCGGCGGAAGTAAAAAGATGCGCCCCCAAGAGATGAACACGTTTTTCCCCACATGCTTAAAGGGGTTATGGATTTCTTCCTTCCCGCGTCGCACCCGCGTCTCCTCCTCACCCCTCCTCCTCCTCCTCCTTCTCTTTCTCACACAGCGCAGCACAGCACAGCACAGCACATGTCCCCCACATGTTTCCCCGCATGTTTCGTGGGGTTTTGGTTTTCTTCTCTGCCGCGTCTCACCCGCGTTTCTTCTCCTCCTCCTCCCTCTGCGTCTCGCGCCCACATGCCCACATACACATGAGACACACGCTCACATTTTGCCGCATACGGAGCGGAGGTGGAAGTAGAGGCATGACCACATGACACTCACCAGCAGACGCACACCATACAACACTCGCACACACACAGACACACACACACACACCATACAACGCTAGTGCATGCCTGGCGTGTTCACGGCATCATACAACTACGACGAATGCGCTACAGAATGGGCACACCCATGAGACACACGTCCACATTCAGCCTGACACACATCTCACAGCGTGCCTCTTCTCGATGCTACCAGGGTGTGCGCAGGGGGTGCGGTCGCTGTTTCGGGCTCGCATAGCGTGGCAGGCGTGACACTTCCTCGACGCCACAGGGGGTGCGCTGGGGGTGCGGTCGCTATGCGTTTCGAGCTCGCAAAGCGTGGCAGGCGTTACACTTCGTCGACGCCACAGGGGGTGCGCTGGGGGTGCGGTCGCTATCCGTTTCGGCCTCGCAAAGCGTGGCAGGCGTGTCTTCTCGATGCCGCAGGGGGTGCGCAGGGGGTGCGGTCGCTATCCGAGTCGGCCTCGCGAAACGTGGCAGGCGTAACACTTCCTCGACGCCACAGGGGGTGCGCCGGGATTGCGGTCGCTATGCGTTTCGGTCTCGCAACCTGTGGCAGGCGTGGGTCTTTCTCGACGTCGCAGTGGGTGCGCTGGGGGTGCGGTCGCTATCCGTTTCGGCCTCGCAAAGCGTGGCAGGCGTGACCGTTTCTCGAAGCCACAAGAGGGTGAGCTGGGGGTGCGGTCGCTATCCGTTTCGGGCTCGCAGATCGTGGCAGGCGTGGCAATTTCTCGACGCCGAATGGGGTGCGTTGGGGGTGCGGTCGCCATCCGTTTCGGGCCCGCAAGGATGGCAGGCGTGACACTTCCTCGACGCCACAGGGGGTGCCTTGGGGGTGCGGTCGCTATCCGCGGGTCGTCCAGGGCATAGCAGTCGTGGCATTTTCTCGACGCCATAGGGGGGTTGCAGGTCGTGGTTTCTGAGCGCGGCCGCAATCCGAGGCGGTCGTCCAGGGCGTAGCAGACGTTGCATATTCTCGTAACCTTAGGGGGTCCGCAGGTGGTGGTCTCTGAGCGCGGCCGTATGCGAGCCGGTCGTCCAGGGCGTAGCAGGCGTGGCGCTTTCTCAACTATGTGGAGTTCCTCGGTAGCGTAATTGGGTTCAGGGTTTCCGTAACCGCCCATTTGTTGAACGGTTTCTACATGTTCAGGGCCCCTGGGGACGTCCACAAAAATGTTCCGGAGGAAAAGCCAGTCATGGATGAGGGGTCGAGATCCCTTGCGGCCCATGCCACGAAGCGAAATGTGACATCGGAGGAGAGGGCCCCCTCCCCGCTCAAGGGGGGGCGGGGGGCGGCGCGTCTAAGAAGGCAGGCGGAGCTTCTGAGAGGGCAGGCGGCAGCTTGGAAGCCCCCCCCCCCCACTCCTGGGAAGCCCTCTTAGACGCAACCAAGCTCTTCCAATAAGACCCTCTTGCCTTCGAGAGCTCCCCCCCCCGCCCCCCCTCTCGCGCCGCCCTCTTCCCATAACCCCAGCATCATGTTTTATCATCACGTCTCCATCGAAGAACAGAACATGGCATGAGCATAAAGTGTTGGATCTCCGCGCGTATGTCCTGGACCTGCGCTGGGCCTCCAAAAGCGTATGTCTATACGGTTTTTGTCCCTCTACTCCAGCACCTGCTTTTCATCCTGAGGCGTTCTTCGATGACACCGGGGCCCAGCGAGGGCCCACAGAGCCTCAGAGAACTTGCCGACAATAGTTCGTTCGTGACGCGAGGGCGACTGGGCTGACGAACCAACAACACACACCCATACCCATAGGAGGGTCGGAAAGGGCTATGGTTGCGCGTTGTCGGATGGGGGTCCCCGCTCGAACGGGAGCGTTCCCTAGGGTCCGACAACCCGCACCCATACCCATAGCCAGTCCTCCTCCCAACGACCCCCTTATGGGTATGGGTGTGTGCTGTTCGTTCGTCAATGGGCTGCGCGCGCGAAGGAGTGGTGGGAGGAAGGCCTGCGTGGTTGCTCCCGGGCTACAGTCGGGGCGCTGAAGAAGGAACCCTTCTCGTTGGTGAGGGGTTCCGTGTTCCTTCATTGTTTTGCAGCTTGCCTAAGGTTTTCCTCAGGTTTTCGATGGGAAGTCAAAGTTTGACTGATGGGAAAATAAGGCCCCGTTCCTTATTTAGGGCTCCTCAGGTCAAACGCCTCGACTGTGCACCTCGCCGTGGCCCTCGGGCCCGGCCGGCCGAGCCCCCGCGGGGGCGAGGTGCTCTTCCTGCCGATGCGCTTGGAGGAGGTGGGCGGCAGCGTGCTGGTGCCCGCGGGGGACGCCCTGCAGGACGGCGAGGGGCGGAGCTCTCCCCGGGGTGCTGCGGAGGGGGGGCGGACGAAGAGGAGGAGGAGGAGGAGGAGGAGGAGGAGGAGGAGGAGGGGGAGGAGGGCGAATGATGGTGATGATGATGATGATGATGATGATGATGATGATGATGATGATGATGATGATGATGATGATGATGATGATGGTGATGGTGATGGTGATGGTGATGGATATGGTGATGGTGATGGTGATGGTGATGGTGATGGTGATGGTGATGGTGATGGTGATGGTGATGTTGATGGTGATGGTGATGTTGATGGTGATGGGCATGGCGGGGGGCGGTGATGGTGATGATGATGCTGATGATGCTGATGCTGATGATGAGGAGGAGGGCGGATGATGATGATGATGATGATGATGATGATGATGATGTTGATGATGATGATGATGATGATGATGATGATGATGATGCTGATGATGATGATGCTGATGATGATGATGGTGACGATGATGATGATGATGATGATGATGATGATGATGATGATGATGATGATGATGATGATGATGATGATGATGATGATGGTAATGGTGAGGTGGAGGAGGAGGAGGGCGGGGGAAGGGGAGAAGATGCGAGTGATCGAGGGAACCTGCTCCGACGCGCCAGAATAGTCCGCCGCTTTCAGCTGCCACGAGGCGAGTAGAGTAGTATGATTAACTGGATGTTGCTGCTGAGATTGAGACTTATGTCGCTGCTGTTGTTGATGAAGAAGATGCTGATGATGATGATGATGATGATGATGATGATGATGATGATGATGATGATGGTGATGTTGGTAATGGGGATGCCGATGACGACGTGACGCTGATGACGAGGATGGTGATGTTGATGGTGATAGTGATGATGCTTATGACGATGACGATGATGATGACGAATGATGACCATGATCATGATGATGTTGATGATGATAATGCGGATGATGATGATGTTGATGATGATGATGATGATGATGATGATGACGATTATGCAGATGATGATTGTGACGGCGATGTTGATGCTGATGGTGATGCTGATGATGGTGATGATGCAGATGACGACGCTAACGATGACGATGACGATGACGATGACGATGATGATGATGCTGATGATAATGCTGATGATGATGGCGATGACGATGACAGTGACAATGCTGATGCAGCTGCAGACGACGATGACAATGACAATGACGATGCAGATAATGATGATGAGGATGATAATGGTGATTGCGATGATGATGATAATGGTGATGAGGATGATGAGGAGGAGGATCATGACGATGGTGCTGATGGTGATGGCGATGCTGATGATGGTGGTGGTGGTGATGATGATCATGACAATGATGATAGTTGTGGTGATTGGTGGTTGTTGTGGTAGTGGTGGCAAGAAAGAGGGGTGAATCAGAGGATGGAGGAGGATGACATCTATAGTATGGAGAGGGTGAGAGAGGCAGAGGATGAGGAGGAGGAGAAGAACGAGGAGAAATGAGAGGAGGAGGAGGCCATACTAGAAGTCTGAGAAGGGAGGAGGAAGAGGAGGAGTAGAAGGAGGAGGAGGAAGAAGAGGAGGAGGAGGAGGAGCAGGAGGAGGAGGACAGAGGGCGGATGAGGAGGGGGGAGGATGGAGGGAAAGTCGGCTAGTGCAGGACTTCCCCAAACCCTCGACGTGGTGATTCTTACACAGCGTCGGCCCCCAGGGCCCGTCTTCATCCTGAGCCCCTTCTTGCCGGTCCTTTGGGGCGCCTTGCAAGGGTCACAAGCGGCGAACATATCCGTATCCGCTCCCTTGTGGTCTGGGTTTGGGGGCGCGATCTCGGAGATACGTTGTTTCTTCGGCTGCGAGGCGGCGAACTCCGCTCCAGCGAGAAGCTAACTAGCGACTTGGCCGGCTAGCAAAGGCAGCTGATTGGTAATATTACGTAGTTGACAACTCGTATAACCTACAACAACTCCTTCAGCCATCCAAGATTTCACCGATCTTCCAGCGAAGCACCAGGCGCGCGGCGGGGCATCCGTCGCACTTGGCGGACCCGCCGTCTTTCAGCACTCCCCGCCCCATCCTGTCGTCATTGATGCGGCGGGCAGGGATCATCCTGCAAACTGTGACCAGGTCGTGGACTCCGATTTGGGGCAGGAGCAAGTCCTGGATCGTGTTGGCGCCGGCGGTCCTGTCGTCATTGATGCGGCGGGCAGGGATCATCCTGCAAACTGTGACCGGGTCGTGGACTCCGATTTGGGGCAGGAGCAAGTCCTGGATCGTGTTGGCGCCGGCGGGCTTGCTGACAGCGCGGTGGGCCAGGAGCAGCCTCTTCGCGTGGTCGCTTTCGGTGGGCCAGCGGGCTTCGTTGAGCGTGCGAAAGAAGCGGCCGCTCGGAACCGCGTCGTCGGGGACGGCGAAGCCTCGCCCAGCCAGGTCTCCCCTGGAACACGTGGCGCAGTACCTCAGCGGCAGCCCCTGCCAGCCTGATGGGCGGCCAGTCTGCTGTTGGCCAGGGTGGGTCTCTGGTCGCGGCTCGCCCGGGTTCCGTCGTTGGCTCGAAACGGCCCTCTTCCGCACCCCTTGTTGTCGCACCAGGTTAGCGCTGCGTCCTTGTCCGGGTGGAGCCGAGTGTCGGCTCCCCCGAGGACAGCCGGGTGCAGGGCAACGCCAGGTGGGGGGTCGGCTGGGCGGGCTGAGTGGATGTCCTGTCCGCCATTGGGCATCTCTCCCCCGAGGTACTGGAGCTGGTTTGCCTGTCCCTTTTTAAACTGGCAGGAGTCCTGCCTCGTCTCCTGTGAGTTCGACGGAGAGGGCGCAGATGGCGCACGCGTAGCCCGCCAGTGCGGTCAGGCTGGCGGGTGGCACCAGAGTCTCGAGCACTGCGAGCGGAGCGGACGTTGGGAAGGGGACCCGTTGCACCTCCCAGGTAGCTGGGCACCCGATGCCCTGTGCGTCAGGGTGGCGGTGCGCGACTGCAGTGAGCCTGGACACCTTCGTGATCAGCGCCTCCAGCCGCGCGCGGAGCCCGCGGAAGTCCTTGTCGGTGATGCCGTGCGCCGCTCCGAGGCAGCCCCGTTCCCGCAGCCGGGCAGGGTTTCTGGACGCCCGAGATGGGCACGGAAAGAATGGGTACAATGCCCAAGAGGAGTTCTTGATCATTTTGAACAGGACTCGCTGTCCACGCCGCCGCGGCCCGTGTCCGATGGAGACAGGAGGCCGCCTGCCCAACAGCGGCCGCTGTTGGGTTTGGACAACGTTTGTTGTTGGGCATTGTGCCCACTCTTTCGGTACTTACCCATATCGGGTGTCCAAAGGGTTGCGCGGGAGGCACATGCCGAGGGCAGCCTCCAGCACGCCGCCGATCGGGCCCGGCTTGGCAGGTGGGGCCACGAGGGGCCTCGGCTCGCGGACCCGGGGGAGCAGCATTCACCAGCCTCGGACGTATCCCTATCCCTAAGATTGACACGCCGAGAGGCGATGGCAATCCTAGGGATGCGCCGTCAAAAACTGAGGGAATCCCTAAGATTGACACGCCGAAAGGCGATGGCAATCGTAGGGATGCGCCCTCAAAGACTGAGGGAAGCCCTAAGATTGGAATCGTGATGGGGCGATGCCCAGCATAGGGATAGGGATATGTTCCAGGCTGGTAAGTCATGGCCAGGGAGCTCCTCGCCCAGGCGCTGGGCAGCGGTTGTCCGTCAGGTCCTTGGAGGGACTGCCTGAGCGATCCGGGCTGGCGGCCGTGGGCCTGCAGCAGGGCGGGGAGGTAGCTGGCGTCGGGCGGGGCGCCGTGGCGGGGGCAGGAGCACGTGGTGCTACTCCAGACGGCCGGCGGCCTGCGGGGCGTGTTGGCGGGGATTGTGCTCTCCTGCCGTGATTGCCACTTGTTCCGACGCGTAGCTCGCGGCTCTTCGGCGAGCCTGTGCTCAGGGACGAAGTGATCGTCCTGGCATTCGGGCTGGAGGCCGGCCATGTAAGCGAGGCGCGCCCAGATTGCCGTGTAGACGTAGTTGGTCGGGTCGACCCCCAGCTCAAGATCAAAAGGGGTAACCGTCGTGGCTGACCAGCTTGTGGCAGTGCTCGTGGAGGTTTGCCGGGGCGTCCCCCGGACCGTACAGGTGAGGTTGCAGGCCCAGGACGTGGACCAGGAAGAAGGCCGGGTCTGCCAGCACGGCGGCACCGGCGGCGGCCAGGTCGTCACCCAGCCCGTCCCAATCGAAGGTGTCCGGGAGCGGGGTGTCGTAGACGATGGCAAAGCCCAGGGATCCCGGAGATACACGGTCGCACAGATAGCTTCCGCGCGGCCCATTCGTGAACAAAAACGGCCCGTATCCGACGGGTCGCGGCCCAGGGGTTGGGCCCGCGAGGCCGCGGATGCGGATCAGTCTTTCGCCCACGAGCTGGGCGCAACTCGATCGGGCGACGAGAACTATGCACATGCACCGATCCTGGCAAGGCCGATCCTTGACCCAGGATCGGTGCATATGCCTTCCTGGCCAAGGTAGGAGGGCATATGCACCGATCCTGGGCTCAGGATGGGCCTGGCCAGACTCGGTGTATGTGCATAGTTCTTTTTCCTCTACTCGAGGCGCCCTGGCCAGGACAGGCCCTGGGCAGGGTTCGGGGACCGAGCTTGCCCGCATGTCGGTCGGGCGACGCCGCCCTGCTCCAGGGCGGCCTGGCCTGCCCGCGCCCGCCCTGAGGGCCCAGGCCTCCTCCTCTTTCTCCTCCTCCTCCTCCTCCTCCTCCTCCTCCTCCTCCCTCCTCCTCCTCCTCCTCCTCCTCCCCCTCCTCCTCCTCCTCCTCCTCCTCCTCCCCCTCCTCATATCCATCCCGTTTGTTCCCGTCATGCACCTGTCCCTCGTCCCGGCAAGGGCGTCTGGCGCATCCGTGCCCGCGGCCTCGCAGGCCGGGCCTCTGGGCCGCGATCCCACGAGTGCGGAACGTGCGCGTGCGACCGCGCATCCGCGCGATCGCGCCCCGGAGCCGAGACCGCGAGGGCGCGGATTTACCAGCCGGGAACATAGTTTGGCGTGTCAATCTTAGGGATAGGGATACGTTCGAGGCTGGTGACGGGTGCGGATCTGTTCGCCGCTCGTGATCCTGGCCAGTGCTTCGAGCTCGGCGCTCAGCCGTGGCGACGAGAACCTCTATAGGGACGCCCGAGAACCTCCGAAGCGAGGGCGCCGTCCTCGTCCTCGCGCTCGTCGTCGTCGCCGCTGGCGTCGTCCAGGAAGAGCAGGCTTTCCCAGGAGGGCAACGGGCAGGAACGGTTCGAAAATCACCACCACCGCCACCACAACCACCACCACCACCCGGCGAGGATGTCCACGATGCCCCCCCGATCTGCAGATTGGCGATGCCTCGAGCGGTACGCGGCGAAGCAGGGGGCCACACTGGCCACGCAGCCAGGAGAACCCTCATTGGCTCTTCGCGATGGCTCAGGTGGTGCCGATCTTCTTTGCCTTTGCGGCGAACGGGCAGGGCCTTCCGTGGCCCGACGCCGCGAAGACAACGTGACATCGTGAAACTTTCAAATTGCGCGACACATCTTCTGCGCTTCTGGAGAAAAGCTTCGCACATCTAGAATACCTTTTCTCGAGCATCTCTCAGCACCCTCCACCCTTATCCGTCTGCAGAAGTCTCGAACGGGACCGATCCGTGAGGGCCCTGAGGCTGGAAATCAAACTGCGAACACGCCCGAATGGAAAACAATGGCAACGCGTGGACCTCATCAGGCGGGCCTGGGATGAAGATGGACCGCTCCACAGTTTTTTGTTGGAACGCTCTCGGAGGTCATGGTGCGCTGTGAAACGGAGGGGGCGCCCGATAGATCCCCCAGACCCACCAGTTGTCAGAGACTCCCGATTCCATCTCGTCCGACGTTGCATGTTGTTGGTCACGTCGGCCCAAAGGGCTTCGACCACTGTCTTGGGGCCATATTGTCATGCTGACATGCTTTTCTACAAATTCTACAATACTCGGGGCTGGGAAGCAGCCTCCACGAGGACAAGAACGACGAGCAAATTGCCACTACGTCATGGTTTTGTTGCCTCGCCCAGATCTGAGGGGTCCATTCGTCACAATTCATAGATCCGTCTTGCGTGTATCTTACAGTCCAGAGCTTCTTTTAGCGTGTCGCGCCAGTGGTTCTGGCCAGCAGCGCCTTGGCGTGACACTCTGACCGCGTCCTGGCCCCCGAGCGTCAACGTCCCGAGCCTTTTCCCGCCTCCCGCCCCATTGAGCGGAGCGACGCCCTATCCGCTCCCAGGGCATGGCGTGTCGCCGTGGCCGCCGCCGCCACACGCTAAGCAACAGTCCCCGACCATATCTCAACCCGACTCTGTCATCGTCCTGCCTCCGTTGTCAGAAATCGTCCGCCAGACCCCTCGCAGGATGCATTCCGACCACGATTTCGAGGCGGACCCAGCCGTGGCGACGGTCTAGGGAGCCAGAGGGGGGGCCCGACCAAGGCGATAGACGTCTGCAAACCTCTGCCCTCGATCCGTTGACAGGGGCCCAGACATGTGTTGTCTTGATTTTTTCAGTACGAGGTCCTCAGAGGTACGGACCTCTTCCCCAGGACAGGTTTTTCATCCTGAGCTGTTTCATGACGATCCCAGGGCACTGCGAGGGCCCCCAGGGGCCGAAAATTGTCAAAAACATCCCGTCGTGATTTTATTATTAAGACACGATCATATCTAGGGATGAATCTTCGTCTAGATTCGTATCTTCGCCCCGCCTTCGTCTCATCTCACTGGGCCCCCCATCGATCGGGGGCGGCCAAGAGGGGGGTGAGGACCAGGGAGGGGTAACATGGCGCGGGCCATGGTATGTCCTCAGACTTCATGGCGCCTCTTCCTATCTCACCGCGTCCCTGGCCCCCCCCTGGGCCGCGCACATGCTGCCGGCCATGATCCGCGCCCCCCCCTCTTTGACGCCCCCCTCCCCGCCGTCCTCCTCCTCCTCCTCCTCCTCCTCCTCCTCCTCCTCCTCCTCCTCCTCCTCCTCCTCCTCCTCCTCCTCCCCCCCATCGCCAGGGGGAGGCCGCCGGCGCCCTGGCCGAGCCCGACGCCGCGCCGCCCGCGGCGAAGAGGCGTTGGACGAGGCCGTCCGCGGCGCCGCCCAGGGAGCCGTGGGCGGCGGGCCCGGCCGCGTGGGGGCCGCACGAGGAGCGGCCGCGGGAGACGCCTCCCTCGTAGCAGCTTTTCAGAGCTCCGAATCATCAGGGGTAACTCGGGTCAGGGTCAACTCGGGTTCGTTTTTCGGGAGTCCGAGCCCGAGTTACCCCGGACCCGGGTTACCCTTGATAATTCGGGCGTCCAGAGCCCCACATCATCAGGGGTAACTCGGTCAGGGCTAACTCGGGTTCCTATTTCGGGAATCCAAACCCGAGTTACCTCGGACCCGAGTTTCCCCGCATAACTCGGGCGCCTGAGGCATATCACCAGACAGGATCGCGCCGTTCATTTTTATATACAGCAGGACGGGAGGTTTTGGGCCATTGTCGGTCCTGGTGGGCCCTCGCGGGGCCTCGGGGCCGTCCACAAGACGGCTCAGGACGAGAAGCCGGTCCCGGGGAAAGGGTCGGGACTTCCAGGGACGCCGTCCTGAAAGCATCAGGACGTCGCATGTCTGGGTCCCTATCCCTACGTTTGGCACCTCTAGGCCTCCTGGATGGGTCCGAGCAGACGGGGTCGGAGGATCGCGCCGTATATTCGCTGCATCGGCGATGCGGCTCGATGTGGAGCCCGACTTTCTCCACGCTGGCGTCGCCGATGCATCGCCGATGTCGCCGATACATTGCCGATGCAACCACGATGTGTTTCGCCGATGCGGCGCGAGCCTCCGACCCCACCTACTCCGACCCCATCTGGGAGGCTTCTAGCGTCACCTCGGTGCCGATCTCAAAGATTCCCGCAGTTCCTGTGGGGATATCCCAAATATGAGTTCTGGGGCCAACGCCGCGACGGAGCCACGGCGTGGAGGGGGGGGCCCGGCAGGCCTCAGCGCCGGCGAAGAGAGGGCCCCCGGAGATGGCCCCTGCTGCCCCGGGCATCCAGGCCTGCCAGATGAGATCGGAGGATCGAGCCGCAGCGCCGATGCATCGGGGATGCGGGTCGACGTGGAGCCCGATGTTCTCCACGCCCACGTCGCCGATACGTCGCCGCTGCCGCCGATGCATCGGCGATGCAGCGGCGATGCGGCGAGATCCGCCGACCAGAGCCGGTCGGCTCCCAACTGGGAGAGGCCTGCGCCGGAGCCAGGCCCCCAACACCCAGCGCCGCTCACGGCGGCGGCCCCCCCGGGCGCTCCGCGCCACCGAGCAGGGCCACGCGGGGAGCACGAGCGGGGGTTCGTCGTCTTGGCATCGCTCGGACGCGTGCATTTTTCCTTCGGCGAGGGCCATCGAGGAACATCCTTGAGCATTTGGCGACAAAGCCACGCACGAAACCAAAAAAAACACAAAACATGGACGTCCGAGCGATGGCGAGTCGTCTCTCTCTCATCCAGCACCACCTTGCTGCCCCTCGTGCGCGGTGCCCTGTCGACGAGCGCGGCGGGGCAGGCGGGCGTTGGCCCGCCGATGCTGGCGCGACGAGCTCTTGCTCCGCGGCTCGCCTGAGAGAAAGCAGGGGGGGGCTCGCCAGCTCCTCCTGTGGATGGAGGCTCGAGGAGGTTCTGGTCGACCCTGGCCGATTTGGGGGAGGTCCTGGGGTGCTCTTGGGGCGACCCCCCTGGTGGGTGCTGGCCCCCCGCAGCATGGCTGGGCCACCACTGGGGGGGCGGATGGAGCACCCGCCACGGCCAGAGCCTCCACGGGCCCAGGCCAGGGCCCGGGCCTCGATGGACACGCGGTTGGGCTCCAGGCCAGGCCAGGATGCCATCCACGTCCACCGTGGTCTGAACTCGGAGCGGGTTTCTCTGTGTTGGCGGAAAGTCCTTTCCATCGTCATGGCAGGCCCTCGCGTTCGGGCGAGCGCCGTTGCAAGGGAACACGATGCGAGTGTGTTCTGCCCTGCTTCGGGGCCCCTGTGACCCACGCGTTCCGATGCTGACGCACACGAAGATGGGGTCCAGAGCTCGGGCTGCTTTCTTCTTCTACGTCCTGTCTGTTTTGCGACGTCGGATGCCGGCGGGATTGGGAGGAGGAGGAGGAGGAGGAGGAGGAGGAGGAGGAAGAGGAGGAGGAGGAGAAGGAGGAGCATCAGCTTTATCGAGGAGGAGGAGGAGGCGGAGGAGGAGGAGGAGGAGGAGGAGGAGGAGGAGGAGGCGGAGGCGGAGGCGGAGGAGGAGGAGGAGGAGGAGGAGGAGGAGGAGCATCAGCTTTACCGAGGAGGCGTCGGACCCGTGTTTGGGCACGAGGGGGTGGCGCATGCGGCGGGCCATCGCCCCCCCCCCCCGGCTGCGACGCAGCCGCCTGGGCGGCAGGCACAGGCCGCGCACCCGGGGGCTTCCGGGAGGGCGCGCGAGGCCCAGGGGCACGAGTGGGATCCCCCCCCTTTCCAGCTTGGCATCGCTCGGACGTGTGCAGTTCTCCTTCGGCGAGGACCATCAAGGAGCATCCTGGATCACCTGGCGACGAAGCCACGCACGGAACCGAACAAAAACAGGAAATGGACGCCCGAGCGATGGCCAGCCAGCGCTCGGTTCGATTCCTCCGATTCGATTCGATTCGATTTCGATGGTTTCCGGTTCCGATTCGGTTCGACTCGGGACTCCGGTTTGGGCTCAGGTTTCTCAGTGGACGCATGCTGGCCTGCCGATGTCTACCGATTCGACTTTTCCCGACTCGGCTGCCGATTTCCGCCGGTCCGATTCATGTCGATCGCCGATTAGACTTCTCGATTCGATGATGGGCTCTCCTGCCTTTTTGTCCTTCCGCCCCGCATCCTCCCTTCGTGTCGTCTGTTGTCTCGTCTCCTTCCCTCCCCCTCCCCTCCCTCCCTCCCCTTGTGTGCCCGGCGAGCGCACAAGTGCGTGGTCAGCGCTCTCTGAAGTCCTCGCGACTGCGCCGGTGCAGTCTGGCCGATGCTGCTGGCCAGATGGCCGTTGGCTGTAACGCTGGAGGGAAAGTCAGTCGTCCAGGGCTCGCCCGTGCGTGGTGCCGTTCCCGGTCTTCGCCGCGGGGCGCCTCGTTCGCTTGGCCGAGGGCCGCCACGAGCTCCCCGCGCACCCCGGGGCGCACCCCGAGCCAGTCGCATCGTGCCTCGTGCCAGGGCTCCCTCGCCCGGACCAGGCGCGGCGAGGCCCGGGGCCCGGGACGAGTGGCCGAGTGCGGCTGGCCGAGTGCCGCCAGGCACTCCCTGGCTCCCACGCCGAGGTCCGACGCTGCGAACAGGAGCGCGCCGCCGCGACAAAGTCAGGACCGGAGTGCCAGAGCCCCTCTCTCTGCGCCACGGTCGTCGCGCCGCGTCGAGCTGCAGGGCCCCTGGGCCCGAAGCTGGGCTTAGGGTGCCGCTTGTGGAAGACATGTCGCGCCAGCACCTATACGGTCGGGGCCCCGAAGGAGGAACCCTTTTCGTTGGGGAGGGGCTCCGCGTTCCTTCAGTGTTTCGCAGCTTGCCTCAGGTTCTCCTCATGTCTTCGATCGGACATCGAAGTTGAACTTCTGGGAAAAAGGGGCCTCGTTCCTTCTTTTGGGCTCCTTAGGTTAAGGCCCCGACTGTAGGGCAGGGCGCTTCCCGAGCCGACCGCATCGCCTCGCCCTCGGCCCCGGCAGGACCTGGCCGCCCAGTCGCCGCCCCCTGCGGAGCCTGCAGGCGGCGCCTGGCCCGAGCCCGGGGGCCTGGACCAGGCGGCAGGGCTCGAGGAGGGCGGCCCCTCCTCCTCCTCCCCCCTCCTCCTCCTCCTTCCTCCCTCCCTCCTCCCTCCTCCTCCTCCTCCTCCTCCTCCCCCTCCTCCTCCTCCTCCTCCTCCTCCTCCTCCTCCTCCTCCTCCTCCCCTCCTCCTCCTCCTCTCCTCCTCCTCCTCCTCCTCCTCCTCTCCTCCTCCTCCTCTCCTCCTCCTTCCTCCTCCTCTTCCTCCTCCTCCTCCTCCTCCTCCTGCTCCCCTCCTCCTCCTACCTCACCACCTGAGAATGAAACTGCAGAAAAACTCCTCCTCCTCCTCCTCTTCTTCCTCCTCCTCCTCCTCCTCCTCCTCCCCTCCCTCCTCCTCCTCCTCCTCCTCCTCTCCTCCTCCTCCTCCTCCTCCTCCTCCTCCTCCTCCTCCTCCCTCCCCTCCCTCCTCCCCCCCCCCCCCGCCATGAAATCCCCCCCCCAGTCCCCCCCACCCCTCTTGGATATCCCCCGAGTTGCGTGGCTGCTGAGGTGCACGCCCTCCGCGCTTCTGCGCCGGTGTCGTCGCCCCCGAGTTGCGTGGCTGCTGAGGTGCACGCCCTCCGCGCTTCTGCGCCGGTGTCGTCGCAGTCTGCGGCCCCCCTGTCACCCCCAGGCCCCCTCACGCTGTGACACGCATCACAGCGGGAGGGTTTGCCGTATTTTCGGCCTCTGGGGAGCCTTTTCCAGGCCCCGGGGCCCTCCAAAAACGACTCGGGATGAAAAATCGGGTCCAGGGGAAAGGGTGAGACCTTTGGGGTCGACGTTGCGGAAAAATGCTGCGTCGAGCGCCTGGGCCCTCGCCATGGCCCTGGTCTTCCTCTTCGCCTCCTTTCTCTTTGGCTCTCCAGTTCTCTAGGCCGCCCCCTCCTTCTCGCGTATCTCTCCGCATTCTTCTTCTTCTTCTTCTTCTTCTTATTCTTCTTCTTCTTCTTATTATTATTCTTATTCTTATTCTTCTTCTTATTCCTCTTCTTCTTCTTCTTCTTCTCAATTTTCTCATTTTTCTTTTTCTTCTTCTTCTTCTTTTTCTCCTCCTCCTCCTCCTCCTCCTCCTCCTCCTCCTCCTCCTCCTCCTCATGAGTAGCCATTTTGGCTCACGCCGCCGCCCCCGCAGATGTGCTCGCAGCAGCCTCGCCCAATCCCCGCGCGCGCTGCCCACAGGCGCCACCCCCCTCAATGGCCGCCGCCGCGATGTGGGCGCCCTCGGCTGCACGCCGCCGCGGCCGAGGCGCCGCTGGCAGGCCCGCCGCGGCGCTGCCCTGGCGCTCTCTGCGGCCGCCGCGCTCGCCGGCGCGGGCAGCCTCTCCGACGCGGGCGCGTGCGCGGGGCTCTCTGGCAGCGGCAGTGCCGCGCGCGAGGTGGGCGTCGCCCGCCGGCCCCGGCAGCACGGGCAGTGGCGCAGCGTCAAGGATAAGGTGTTGGCCGAGTTCCGCCTCATGACGGAAGAGGCGCTCAGGCAGGTGAGGACGGATGAGAGGGCCGAGAGATCCCGGCTCCGGCTGCTGAGCAAGAGCGACCAGAGCGGGAACAGCGCGGACAAGCCCGCGCAGGATTTGTGCAAGTACAGGCTCCGCGCCGCCACCACCGTGCTCGCTAAGATGAAGAAGGAGGAGGACATCGTGATCGCCGAGACGCTTAAAGACGTCCCGGTCAAGGAGAAGATGATGTCTGAGTGTTGGACAACCCAGGACCAGAATAATGCCAAAACGACCTGGGCCAAGCCGGCAGCACGTGACCGCAGTTTGGTCCGCAAGAGGGGGCATGCCATGTCTAAGAAGATGTATCGCCACTTCAGGGCGCCGAATTACTACGACACACCCGAGTACCAGCACTGCGAGCAGAGGATCGGCTTCCCGGGCGGTTGGAAGGGGCAGCTGGTTGAGGGAGCGAAGGTCTACGCCGAGCGGGAGAAACTTTACGAGGAGGAGGGCAAGAAGTACTTCGCGAAGGACAGGGCTCGCCACGACGCCAGGCCCGAGCGCCAGAGGACGGCCTCCAGCACGGGGCAGAGCATCTACCGCCTGGTCCCGGGCGGCGGGAAGACGGTCAACAGGAAGGCCGTGCAGGTACCGGTGTGGCGGTACGGCAAGACCCAGCGGCCCCTCGAGCCGATAGACCAGACGGCCTTGATGAGGAAGTCCCGCAAGATCCCACGAGACCTGGAGGGAGGGAGGGAGGGAGGGAGGGAGGGAGGGAGGGAGGGAGGAGGAGGAGGAGGAGGAGGAGGAGGAGGAGGAGGAGGAGGAGGAGGAGGAGGAGAAGGAGGAGGAAGAGGAGGAGGAGGAGGAGGAGGAGGAGCCGCAAGATCCCACGAGACCTGGAGCTGCAGGCCCCGACGGTCTCTCCAGAGGAGGAGGAGCAGGGCGAGCCAGCACCCGGTAGGCCCGCATCGCTCGCGGGCATGCCCCCCGGCCCCCGGGGGCGGAGCTCCGGCCCCTCCGCGCGGGAGGGCCCCTATTCGGGTATAGCCAGGACCCCAGTCAGAGCCCCGAATCATCAGGGGTAACTCGGGTCAGGGCTAACTCGGGTTGGTTTTGTCGAGATTCCGAACCCGAGTTACCCCGGACCCGAGTTACCCCGGATAACTCGGGCGCCCAACCCAGGGAAGGGGACCCCGTTAGTAGTAGGTCCCCGGAGCCCCCAAATTTGCCAGGATCTCTCAACCAGGTCTGCCGCGGCTGGTGTTTTTTCGGGTGCAAGGCAGTTCTGGTCGGTGGAACGGGGCGGGGCGGGCGTGCCCCAGTGCACATCACTACACCAGGCCCCACTACAGCCAGTTCTGCCAACGCCCGACCCGTGCGGTGGGCAGCCCCCAGGCCTCCTCCAGGGAGAGCGAGCGAGAACACAGCTCGCGGGCCGGGGCCGCTCGCCCGCCCATGTATCACGCCACATCCCAGCGAAGGCGTCTGCAGCGCGACATCTCCTCTCTCTCTCTCCTCCTCCCCCCTCCTGTTTCTCTTTGACTTCCTGATTCCTCCTCTTCGTCGGCATCCTGCTCCGCCCCGCCTCTGCGTCCTGCCCCTGTGGGGTCTCCCCCGAAGGTCGCAGGCACGCTTCGGGGGGGCACCTTCTCCGATCCGTGGCTCCAGTGCCCGCGGCCAGATCCGCGGACCCATAGTCCATGCTAGAGCGTGCCCGAGGGAGGGGGGCAGGGAGGGAGGCAGGGAGGGAGGAGGAGGAGGAGGAGGCAGGGAGGGAGGGAGGGAGGGAGGGAGGGAGGCTAAATCGTCGGCACTGGCGTCAGCCTGCTGTCGATCTTCTCGTAAGTGATTATCTTGATAATCTTTTCCTCCACAGCTCGCGCCAGCGATCCAACAATCTATCAGATATCTCGATAGCCCCTGGTGGGCTGAAAGCGTCACTCACTTGATGAGTGGGTGGCCCGTCGGCCGTGCCCGGTAGCCTTACCGGGACTCAAGGGCGCCTTCGGACCGAAACAGCAGCAGTAGCGGTCTCCCGGTCTCGGGGCGTCTCGGATCGGAAGGCCAACTGCACAGTACAAAACACACAGGGGGAAAACCTTTTGGCCTTCGATCCTGCAAAAAAAATCATCTCTGGTAGCGGTGCTACTCTCGCATACATCTCATCAGGCGAGCAATCTGAAACATGAAATAAAATCTCCGCGAAGCGGACAGATATATAAGATGAAATGAAATCCCCGCGTAGCGGTCAGATATATAAAATAAAATGAAATCCCCGCGGAGCGGGCAGATATATAAAGTGAAATGAAATCCCCGCTGCGCAGTCAGATATGTAAGGTAAGATGAAATCCCCGCTGAGCGGGCAGATATGTAAAGCTACATTGTCACAGAGCTTGTCTAAATCAAATCACAAACCTCGCCAAGGCGAGCGATATGGAAAAGAAACCACCTGGCAGAACTCACTCTTCCGAATGAACTTGTGGTTCCTCGGCGAGTGTCGACTTCTCTGCTAGAATATCGAGTCCCCTCAGACCTCGTTTCCTCGCAGACTCGAACTCCGGTTCATGAACCAGCGTCCAGTAGCTCCTGCACATGAAAACATCTAAAAGCTTCTGCGCCTCGTACTTTATCTTCGTGCAACCGTCTGCTACCTGCGCATGAGAATGAACCCAACGAAGTTCGGCACCGCACTCTTGAACTCCTTGCTTGAATGCCATGCACTCAATAGCGGCGCGCTTGTCGCTGAGACCCAGTGCTGAACTCTCCGAACCAGTAACTGCATCATATAGGCTCTTGCAGTCCGTGACGAGAACACTCCGTGGTCCCTTCTTGATCATGTCGTAGCGCTTGTCGCCCTTGAGCTGCACATCTGCACTCAGCATCTCCATCCAAGCTAGCTGTGTATACTCCAGCTCCTCCGCGGCCTCACTTGCTGCTTGGATTTCTGCACCCAAGGATGAACGGCACTTTCGTGTCAGCTTCTTGGAAGCTCCCGTGAATACTGTGAACTTCTGCTTCTTGCCGCTGAGCGCCTCCACCTCGGTAGTGCACACAACATAGCCTCCTTGACTGCTCCCATCTGCTCTCGAACACCACGATGCATCGAACCAACATACCCACGCCATCTGCTTATAAGGATGTATGGTAACTCCTGTGCTCGCAAACTCGTGAATAGTCTTGACCAGCTGGTTGATCCTGCCGAGGTCCTTGACCGTCGCACTGTTGACAACCGCTTGTAGCATAGAAACGTGCACAGCGATTTGAGGCATCGTCTGTGTTGAAAGCCACTGAGCTTGACCAAGGATGGCACGGCATGCAGTCACTTCTCCGGCTGTCAGCTTGTCGTCCGGACTAGCCTTTCGGCCTCTCTTGACGTTGATCGGCTGGATGGTCTTGGCATACTTTTCTTGACTTAGCCTGAATCCTCCATCTGGATTTCTGGAAACTTCAACTCCACAAACTGAATAGCCAGCCTCATCTGACTTCCACATGCCCCATCGGTATAGCGTCTTGAGATGCTCGTACTCCACGTTGAACTCAACGTTGGTGAGGTCACCCGCAATCTGGAAGTCATCCACATGCACCAGGATGAGCCCGATCACCTTGTTGTCTGAGTTCAGCTTGGTGAAGAGACACGGCTCGAGCTTGCATGCATACCAGCCTCTGCTCTCTAGATCCTTCTTGACCTTCTCGTACCACCGCCTAGGTGCATTCGTGAGTCCATAACAGGCCTTGAGAATCTGCACAACGTCATCATCATTGAGCTGTAGTGCTTCTCGTAGTTGCGGTACTGGTAGTGCATAAAGCTCTCGCTCTTCCTCTGTAGCTTCCCCTTGCAGGAAAGCTGACGAAGCATCCGCAAGCCACGTCTGCCAATTCTCGTTGGCCGCCTTCTGGTATAGCATCTGGCGCGCACGCCTCGAGGGTGTTGGCGATTCGGTCTTAAGCGTCTCGAGGTCCTTGTCGGTGTAGCCGATGAGTACCAGTCTGGCCTTGGCCTTCTTGCCGCCTTCCGCTTCTGGATCCTCCTTCCAGGTAAGTACCCAGCGCATCTTCATCAGGTCGACGTCCGGTAGCTTGCTCCGAAGTACACCTCGGCACGCCTGCGCGAGTAGAAATTGATCAACTTCTTTCTTCATAGCCACGTCGAACTTCGCCTTGTCCTTGTCGTCCAGCTTCTTGTAGCTGACCTCAATGCGCTGCCTCCTGGCCTGTGTAGCCACGTACAGCCTGGGGTCCTTCACGAAGCGGTTGATGGCGTCTCGGGAGGGGACCGCGATAGACAGGTAGACGGCATCCTGGCGCTCGGTGGTGACGTCCTGGTCTTCGCTGGTCTTCTGGACTGAGTTGGGTTCGTCGGTCATCCGCTTGCCGAACTCATCCGGGTCTCTCCCGCGCTTAGTTCCAGTTCTCGTAGTCTGGCGCGACTTCTTGACTGCGGCATCTTCTTCGGCTTCTTGACGTCGCCGAACTCCAGGTACAGGTAGGTCTGCAGGTAGTTGGCCTGGTGGTTCTGGCGCTTCGAGATCTTCCGATGAAAGGTCGTCCTCCTTCTCTGACTTTTTGTCCTCGGACTTCGTATCCTCCTCCTTGGTCTCGGCTGCCCCTGTAGGCTCCGATGTCGTAGGCGCCTCGGTCGCCTGGGTCTCGGCAGCAGCTGGCTGCCCATTTCCCGCCTTCTGCGGAAAGGGATCCTCTGGCTCCATTACCCACGCGTCATCTTCATCGTCGAGATCTGGAAGGCGTTGTCCGATCAGGTCCTCGAATTCGCTAGCCTTGACCTTCAGCATGGCAGCGGTGATGTTAAGAGGAACTGCCTCTCCATGAAGAAGTTTGTGGATCTCGATCTCCGTCTCGGTAGCTGGTCGAAGATGACCACGTCCTGCTCTTAGAAGTCGACCGTGGTGCTCTATCCAGACGACTGACCCTGGATTGCCGTCCGAGCCAGGCTCCTGGGCGATGACTGTCGCCGGGCCAGCCCAAACTCCACCAGGCATCTTGACGTTGCCCTTCGCCTTCTCGGACCACCAGTAGCAAAGCTGCCCTGTAGTCCAGTGTGTCTTCTCTCTGGTCTTGCGTAGCTCCAGTAGGGCAAGACGTCGTCTAGAAGTAACCTCGAGGAAGGCCTTCCTCGCCTCGAGTCGCACCTTCTGGTTTTTGATGTACTCGTCGTCGTCGGCCTCGTAGGTCTTGCTGAGGATCGGCATGTTATGATCTTCGCCGAACACATCGCCCACGATCGGCTCAGGGGTCCTGCCCAGCATCATCTCGTAGGGGCTGTGGCCTTTGTACCTGCCGAGATCGTTCATGGCGGCGATCGCCTCCCAGAAAATCTCGTCCGCGGTAACCTTGGCGTCGGACTCCTCTGCGATCTTGGTCATGGTGTCCTTTAAGATGCCGATATTCCTCTCACATAGCGCTAGCTGGTTGTGAGCCTGCCGAGCGGTGACATCCACCATGATGCCGCGCGACGATAACCATTCCTTTACTCTCTTCTCGACATGGCAGCCCTCACCGTCCAGGCGTAGTAGAGCAGGTCGACCGTAGTACTGCATCCACGTCTGCTGCAGCGTCTTGCGGAACTCCTCGCCTGACCTCATGAGTCGGCCCTTGAGGTTGAGCTTCCCGCCACTGAGCCGAGTGCCTGTATCGACGATGTAGGTCCCGGTCCAAGTCTGCTTGTCGCGAGGGTCCGTCCAGTAGAAGCCGTCCGTCTCGATAGCCTTCCCAGGTGTGGCCGGGCTGTATGGCGCAACCACGGACTCCATCGGCTTGTTCTTGTGCCGCTCGCACGCCTCGCACCTGAACTCAGCTGCTAATTTCAAGATAGGGCCTTGAGCGCCAGCCCGCTTGAGCACGTCGATGATGGTCTTGTTGCTGCGATGCCCTAGCCTGACATGCAGCCTTCGAAGATAACCGTTAACTTTACCGACGTCCACCTCACCTTCCTGTGGCTCGTAT